TGTGTGTGTGTGTGTGTGTGTGTGTGTGTGTGTGTGTGTGAATAAGTGATTTGTGATGGAGAGTAAGTTGTCTGTCAGCAGGACTCCAGTACAGATGCACCTCAGTAGCCCTCAGTGTAAATAACTGATAATAATAAAGGTCATTACTGGCATGTACTCTTATGTAGACCCCTTAATTTAGCTGCACTAATAAGTGTGCTACAGTTGAAGTGGATAAGGTCTACAGAAAATGTGCAGTGGCAACCACGAGAGGCTAAGAAGAATGATGTCATATAAGTGTGCTACAGTTGAAGTGGATAAGGTCTACAGAAAATGTGCAGTGGCAACCACGAGAGGCTAAGAAGCTAATGATGTCAGATAGTCCAATGACTGTGTGTCTTTGGGCTGCCCAAATCTCACATGAAGCCCCCCAGTTTTAACTGGTGACAAGACATAGGCCATCTAATAAAATTCCAGTTGCATGCCTATAATCCCATCTGCTTGAGAGGGTGGGGCCGGAGGATCACAAATTCAAGGTTAACATAGGCAATTTAGTAAGATCCTGTCTCAGAATAAAAGAAACTTGGGTGTGTAGCTCAGTGGTATGCTTGTCTAGCATGCTCAAAGCTCTAAGGTTCAATCCGTAGTTCTGCAGAAGGAAGGTGGGGCTCGATTACTGAAGGCTATAGCAAAAATGTTTCATTGACCTAAAGAATGAATTAAAATGTCACATGTTCAGAGCTTGATAGAATTTAATGTATCAGATGACAGCTGATGTCTTTGCAACTTTTTAGGCATATAATTCCTTTTCCCTGTTTCTACCTTAGATTATTTTCTTCTTGAATATTATGAGTGTTGTAAAGTTACCTTTAAGTTAAATTTCCTTAATTTTTTAAATGGAGTTTGATTAAATCTGAATTAATAGTATTTGGTTTTAATATACTTTTCCCTATAAATTATCTTAGTATCTACCAAGTATTGTTTTGTTTGTAGTTATTGTGATTGAACTTATACTACTCAATCTTACGGGAGATTTATTGTGGATACTGGAGTCCTTCGTACCTTATTTTCTTCTGTATTTTGAAAACTAAAAGTGAAATGCTGAAAGATAATTAAGGTAAATTGGCAAAAGGTGTTTTCCATTGTGTTCCTTGTGGAATACTCTTTATGTAACTTCTACACGTTTTAATATTCATCTCTATTATTGCCTTCTATATGGCTCATTCCTTCTATTTAGTTGACAGATATTTATTTTGAACCCCCGGCATTTCTCTGAAGCTATTCTAGGAGCTTACGATCATCCAGCACTGCTGGTTCAACATGACCCATCTTTATGGAGCTTATAGACAAGTGGAGACAGAAGTACAGCATTGATGCTTTCATTTTGTGTCTCCTTATCATCTTTCTTTCTCTCTCTTTTCTTTCTTTTTGCTTTCGTTGGTGGAGGGCGGGGTGTGGTGCTGAGGATTGAAGCTAGAGCCTTATGTGTGCTAGGCAAACAGTGAACCACTGAGCTATATTTACAAGCCCTTTAAAAATTTTTTTTGTTTGTTTGAGAAAGTTGCCCAGATTGGCCTCAAGCTTTGTGTCTTCCTTTCTCAGCCTCTGGAGCACTAGGGACTTCCCTAGATCCATTTCCCTTTAGATCCATTTCTCTTCTTGGATTTTTTTCATACTCTGGTATAGTTATATGGTTTATGTATTCTGCTAGCTTAATACTCTGGGTTGTTTTTATAATCCCTGGCATCTAGTGCAGTTTAAAGAGTGAAGAGGAGAAAAGGAATTATCAGCTGAGTGCCTTTATTCTTTTATTCCTTTCTAATGCTACCAGGAAATATTAACAGCTTTTCATAAATAGTATAATATTATTATACAATATGAATTGCCTTTTAAAATTTAATCACAGAAATTAATTTAAATTAATTTTTTCCTCAAAAACATTCTTATTCTGTGAAGTCAAAAGATATTTCACTTTTTTTAGTATAATTGTAAATTTGTCAAAATTGAGATGAAGCAGATGGTAAATTTGATAGAGAATTGCACCTGTGGCGCTTAATGACTGAACAGAAATTTAAACAATGTTTGAATACTTTCAAATGCTAATTTTAATTTTGAAGGTCTCCATAAAGGAGAAATAAGAAAAGCTTTTGAAACCAAGAACACTCATTTAAGGGTACTGTGCCTTTCAGTGTTTTTTTTTTAATGGGTTTTCATTTTAGATATATAAACATTTACCTCATGTGTGAAACAGAGTTAATGGCCACAAAAAAGAAAAGAAAGTAGATTATTTTTTGTGTGCCTGGGATCAAACTCAGGACCTTGCTTTTTCTAGGCAGACAAGGTGCCACTAAGCTATATTCCCACCCCAAGAAAGTAGAATTTTCATGTATGAGGTAGTTGTCACTAAATGGGCAGACTATTTT